AATTGGGTTTTTTTTTCGCCTGGGGGGGGGGGGAGTGTAAGTCAAAACATTTGTGTAAAGGTTTTGTTTCTCGGCCCACCATTGCTGGGGGTCATCGTCACGGCGGTGAATATTGGGTTCTCCACCGGAGAAGGGGGGAGGTGGAAGAGGAGCAGCAGAGGAGGACGGCACCGTAGCCCTACGAATGGCGTTTCGTTGCCGCTGAAATCAGGAAGTGAACTTTGCGGGAACGCAGTTCAGCCACTTGCGATTCCATTGGAGCATTTTTCCTCGGGGCATGCTTTCACTACTTGCTCCCAGTTTTCACTCTCTTGTCTTTCAGTCATCTGCTGATGACAAGTTCACTCCGAATGGATGAGTGTCCCCAACAAACAGACCAGCCAGCTCTTGTGAGTTGGAGCTAAGGCTTTGAGGTGCTGACAGGACGACCAAAATGGACCTTTGCAAGATGCTCAGACAGTCAAACACATCAAGCGTTGTGCAATGACACCAGAGGTGTGGGAGGATGAAAGGTCACAGCCCGAAAACCTTTGTCCTCGACCACTAGGTTTTGTTTTTGTTTTTTTGCGAGAAGCAGCAGACTCCAAAAACTGAGCACAGATGAAAAGGACCAGAGACTTCAATGCTTTTTTTTTTTTTTATTGGGTCATGAGGAGCCAAGCGCAATGACATCAAGTTCAACCTTTCACCCACTGCGGCTGCTGGACAATCAGTGGGAAGGGACAAATGTGGTGGATGACGGGCTGGCGGATGCCCAGCTGTGCCTTGCAAGCAAAACCTTCCCGACTTTCATGGAATAACGGCCTGCACTTGGGTTTCGGCATGCCCGGCGAGCGAGACGCTGAATTCTGTGGAACCAAAAAAAAAATTTTAAATAACGTCCAGCACTGCGCATACAAGGGCGACATGCGCTTTTGTTGCAGACTTACCCGTGGCGGATAAAATTCACATCCAAGTTCTCCAATTTGGTCTTGCCAGTTGTAATAAGTGGCTTGGCAAAAGACGTGACTCTTCAATACAACATAAGTCAGTCACTATTTCAGTATGACCCAGCTCAAGGGGGTTAAAAAAAAAAAAAACAGTGAGGAAGGGAAAACAAAAAAAGTCCAATTCTATCCCCAAAGCACACATTTGTCTTTGGCATTTGACGGCACCACGCATGAACACGCCGGCCAACTCACCGCTTGATCAGAGCAGCGAGGTGCGCAGGGCGCAAAAGTATTCTCGGCGTGTCTCGGACAGTCCGTCTCCACCAGGGCCAACTTGAGCCAGGTCAGCATGCCGATGGTCATGATGTACTGCCACACAAAAGCGGAAAAAGCTGGCGTTTATTTAAAAAAAGTAAAAAGCTGTGCAAGCAAAGAAGGGAAAGCAGTCGTCACCCCGCCCGTTATCTGAGAAACTTCCATCAAGGTGAAGTAATTGCGGTGTTTGCTCTCGCGGTTGAACTTGAGCACCGCTTGGTGCGCCGCCTTCACGCCCATCGGGTCATCCAACGGCGACAACATGGGGCAGTCGGGACAAATCCACGCCATCTCCGCGTTGGTGTGTTCTGAAAACAGCTGGCAGGTGACATGGGCAGCCCCCAACGCAACTTGGACAAGGGTTAGCAAACTTGACCTTTTGGGGAGCGGGGAAGGCTTCCAAATGCGGATAGCGTTTGGAACCGTGGCCTCCTCCCCAAAGCATTTTAGATGCTACACCGGTTGTGAATTTTGCTCTTGTGCCACAATCAATTGGGGTCAAAATGACTGCACCTCGCCCCACCAAAAAAAAAAAAAAATAAGCCTGGGGCAGCTCAAGTCATGTTCAGCTTAATTTAATGCATTTTAGGGAAGTAAAACACCAGGTGCAGGGGGGGGACTTGGGAAGAAAAAAATGTTCAGAGGTAAATCACAATACACATGGCGGGGGCAGGAAAGGTCAATGCAGGAATGGAGGGAAAAGTGCAGGTGGCCACCGCACCCTAAAAACAACAAGCCGTCATCCGAAAAATAAATCCATTAAAAAAAAAAAAACTGGGGCTGAATATTTACACGTTCATCCAGCCGAAAGGGGACACACTCCTGGTGAGGTTTGGGGTTGGTGACGTGACATTTGGTCTGCACCAGCTTGAGCGACGCATCCACGCGGCAACCGCCGAACACCTGCGAGGGCAAGCCGAGTGGAGCCGCGGAGCTCGGTAAAAAAAAAAAAACTGGGGCTGAATATTTACACGTTCATCCAGCCGAAAGGGGACACACTCCTGGTGAGGTTTGGGGTTGGTGACGTGACATTTGGTCTGCACCAGCTTGAGCGACGCATCCACGCGGCAACCGCCGAACACCTGCGAGGGCAAGCCGAGTGGAGCCGCGGAGCTCGGAACGACTCGACAAGGAGCGCGCTCGGAAGCCGAGGTTGACGGGTGCTGAGCTGACCTGCTGATATTTGCTGTCGAGGACTCGGCGCAGCTTGAACTTGAATCCGTGCTCGTGTTGCTCGTTGATGTGCCGGACGGCTTCGGCGACCAGCGCCCCCGCGCCGTCCTCGCCGCAGGCGGCCCCCGACTCAGCAGACGCACACAATCGACAGAGGGGGGGGGGACAAAAATCGGTCATGCTGCTCTGATTTATTTGCTTCAAAGCAGGCCGAATGCGGCCTTTTCTTTGGCTCGTTGTCACGGATGACGACGGGCCTTTTCCTAACGGAGTCCGAACACAAACAGAACATTGTGACACTGAATAAGGCCAAGGAAACAAGATAAGATCGTGGGGGGGTCCCGCGTTGGATTTCGTTTTATTTGGTCTTTTTATTGAGCCAACCCCGCTCGGGGCTGGCGCCCGGATTGCCTGACGAGAGTTGCGACAACTCAAGGGTCGTTGTCAATCGGTTGCCATGACAACTAAATCCGCCATGTGAGTGGATATATATGGATTGGTTTCCATCAAAACCTCGACGTTCGTGGCTTTCCGTTCATTCACTCTTGGTTGAATTATTCGAACGGTTTTCAACGTGATCACTTCCGCTTAGGGGTCACGTACGCCGGATGGCGCAAAGGAATCAGACAGAGAGTACGTCTTTACCTTTATTTAAAAAAAAAACCCGACAAACGACACACAAACGACTTATTTGTGCACACAAATGACACGATGTAGCGCTGGTCCCTTATTGGACCAGAGGGTCCCCAAATCGAGCGCACCTTCACTGACGCGCTTTTCACCATCTCATCGGTGCCTTCAAAAACGTTTCGATTTCACACCAACTTTAAGTTGTGATGATATGACAGAAACATTTTTCATTCGGTATCCATCCAGAAAAGTGACAGCGTGTGCACAAAGTAGTTTTTTTTTTCTTTTTAATGTTATGTCTGGGGCTCCGGAAGAGAGAGAGAGAGAGAGAGCAACAAAACCATTGCAGACATCAGTACAAGGCCTGGTTCTTGACCGGACGAGATACACCCTTCCCCCATTTCCTGCTTGAAAAAAAAACTGAAGCTATAAAATCCCGCACGGGTGAGGATAGTCGTACAATGCGTAAAAGAAACATGATTCGCTCATCACTTGCGTTCCACTCATTTCGAGGGGCCGGCCGAAGTCCAAAAATATGCCAGGGCCCATTGTTTTGTCCCAGTCCAGCCCTGCGTACAGGAAGACATAGGTGGCGCTGTGGACACTTGTAAGCTGGATGGTGTGAATCCTTCACGCGTAGTAGCCCCAGAGGAAGACGTTGATGGCGAGCAGCAGCAAGGCGTTCGCGTTGCAAACGTTCCTCCACAGCGGCGCCTCCTTCAGGGAGTTGAGCTTAGCGCCGCAGGCGAGGGGAGCGGCCGAAGAGGCGCCGCTCAGCCCGCACAGACGCAGCAGCGTCCGGCGCCACAAGGGGACCGGCGGGCGCTCCGGAGGGTCG